AAACTCAGAATATTATGACAACCTGCAATCATTACATTTTAAAAAATGTATTAAAACTGTTAATACGAATTTATTAAGCAGTGTCTTTGGTGCTGACCTTCGATGATCCAAATTACTAAATTCAACATCACATTTGTGTTGTGCAGCACAGCTGAAAGGTTTGTTTGAGCTGCGCCCTCTACAGTACAGGCGTGAATTTGCATTTCCTTCAGCCTGAGGCTTATTCATTTCACTTTTGGTGTGAAAGTGCCTTAACATTTGCCAAAAATACAACTTAAACAAAATAAAATAAGCAAAAGCCCAGCCCAGGTGAGAAAAGTAATGCAATAGTAACGTAGGGCATTATTTTCCATAAAAAGTAAATTTTTTGGGAGTAACGCAATATTGTAATGCATTACTTTCAAAAATAACTTTTTTGTCGAAACTCTGGTTCAAGGTGATCACAAGGACAATGCTATGTGGTTGCTAACATAATCTAAGTGTTTCCAAGGATTTTTCTATGTGGCTGCTAAGGTGTTCTGGATGGTTTCTAAGTGGTTACTTTTGGGAACAAGCATAAAGAGTTTATTAAGTATGGTATATTGAGTCCTCACTTTCTAAATGGAACTTTTTAGGCATTTTTTATAAAAAAAAATTGGAATTTGCAATTTTAATACAAGCTGAACACAATTTAGCAAACACCACTAATGAGTCAAAGCAATTGTTTTCAACCTTTTTAAATAAGCTCAGCAAAACATTTTGAGTCAGGTTTCGGCTCGCTGCCGTCTCTCGCTGTGAAGAGACGAGAGCGGGTCAAGAGCGAGACCCGGAGCAGGATTCTCACGCTGCTCTTGGACCGGGCACCGCCGGCCAGGCTCAGATAGCTCATGAGGTCGAAACACATCCGCAATTCTTCTGGCAACTTCTCTGTGGCTGGGATGATAAACAGTGGCCCCCCTCCTCTCTCAGCCGCGCTACCCTCCGCACACCCTTCTTTTCTTTTTATCTCTTGTTATTTGGATGGCGAAGTGGGCTCCGGCCCAGAGAAACACAGGCGATGAATGGAGGGGCTGTGGGAGTGCGTTCTCTCAAATTGGGTGCAATTTGCTCGCAGCCTCCCCCCCTGCTGCTCAATTGGGACATTCCATTCAGCGATCGGGGCGATCCTTGCCTCCCTCTCTAAAGAGAGTGTTCACATTCAAGAGCGCAAAGAAAGAGTGCTAGGAAAGAAAGAGCACTTCCTGTGTCATTTTCACACAATGCTGTAATGGCATATTTCTTAAACATGATGTGCCACTGGTTCACGGGTTACTGGCTGCGGGGTGTGTGTGAGTGTTTCAGGGCAGCACAGCGATGCCTCAACGTTACACACCGGGTCCATGCTAAATGCGTAATCGAGGTCTTTTCCCCCCTCTGGGCGTCCTCCCCGTGTGAAAACACTTCATGTCAAGTACAGATTAGCTCGCAATCTGCGAGTCTGATGATAGTTAAAATGCATGACCCGAGGGGATTTCTGCCGACTGGGTTTGTTAGCGGTTACCACATGGGCTGGATGTCAACATCTGATGTAGAACTTTTTATGTTTGCTCCAAAGCTGCAAAATACTGAGAACACATTCAAATCACATTTTCTTTCTTCATTTAAAACCTGTTAATATTTTAGGACTTTGAATGGTTTTTCTGGTAATAATATTGTATGATTATTTGTTTTTAGTTGAACAAAAATAATTGTGATGGTATAATTTTCAATAAAAAAGTTTTGAATGTTTTAAGATTTTGAATAATTGAAAACAAGGAAAAGTTCAAATTTCAAAAGTGCTCAATAAATGACAATGGAATGATCCATTTCAATGGTGGCCAAAAATACATATCTTCATATTTACTACACTGTAAAAATATATTGTTTTCTATGGTTTATAGGTTTTCTATGATTGCATAATTCTTATTATTACACTTTTCACAGATATAGGGACTAATGTCGATCATTTAATAACATGTGTCTGATAATCTTAGATTCTCATTGTTTTTCCATTGTGCATCTGCTTCTGTCTTACTGTTTTCCTTATAATGAATATTATACCTCAGAAGTCCATTTTGGGTGAGAACGTTTAACACTTTATTTAAATGTACAGTATTAGATTGTGACTGTTCTCGGCCCGCCGGATGTGATATTCTGGCCAATGAGTTCCCTACCCCTCTCTTAATGTCACATAAAAGCTAAAACTTTCACACAAAAGATAATGAAGAGAACGGAATGGGCGGGTCTCCATCTTTTCCGTTTTATCACTATCAGGAGATGGAAGAAAAGCTTTTCTATGGCAACTTCCATTGTGGTCAAACATCACTTTAAATATACTGTGGTTTTGCCAAATTATACTATGGTAACTGTGGCTCAACTTGGCCTGCTTTAGGACCCAGATTTTATATCGGACAACAAATAATGACTCGTCCTAGTCCTAAAAGTGCTAATTTTAGAAAAATATTTTTTGTTTTTTCAAATTAAATATATTTATTCAATTAAATATATGTTTAATCATATTAACCATTTGTTATTAATATAACAAAAACAAAAATATAATGCAAATATTGTAGATCTACATAAAATGCATTATGATTTTTTTGTGTGTATCTGTTCCTTCCTTTATATTATTATTATCTGTGTATAAAAAAATCTGACTGTTTATATTACTGTTGCAATATACTGACATAATTGTTATATATATATATATATATATATATATAATGATATATATATATATTACGGCTGTGAAACGATTAATCACAATTAATCACATCCAAAATAAAAATGTGTGTGTTACATAATACATGTGTGTGAACTGTGTATAATTATTTTGTATATATAAATACACATGCATGTATAAAATTTGTACTATACATAAATATTGTATATATAAATAACACATTTTTTTAAATATATACATGTATGTGTGTGTATTTATAAATACAAAATAATTATACACAGTTCACATACATATATTATGTAAATGGAAACTTTTATTTTGGATATATATATATATATATATATTTATGGATGGACTGACATTATTACACATTATTAAACACTCTTGTCAAAGTTTATATTGTGGCTTTACATTTACATGGTCAAACATTATATTATTAATACAGTGCCCTCCACAATTATTGGCACCCCTGTTTAAGATGTGGTCGAGGACTTTTAAAAATTCTCCCTTTTTTTTAAACAACATAGAATCCAAATGCAAAAAAAGAGAAAAATCCAACCTTTTATTTAAGTACATTACTTTGGTGGTAAAATTTTTTTTTAAAAATTTAAAAAATAAAAACTTCAAATCATGTGTCCCACAATTATTGGCACCCCTGATGTTAATACTTTGTACAACCCCCTTTTGCCAACAAGACAGCACTTAATCTCCTCCTATAACATTTCACAAGATTGAAGAACACAGAGAGAGGGATCTTTGACCATTCTTCTTTGCAAAATCTTTCTAGATCATCCAGTATCCTGGGCCCTCTCTTGTGCACTCTCCTCTTTAGCTCACCCCACAGGTTTGCGATTGGATTGAGGTCTGGGGACTGAGATGGCCATGGGAGGACCTTGAGTTTGTGACTGAACCATTTTTGTGTAGATTTTGCCACACGTTTTGGATCATTATCCTGCTGAAAGACCCAATGACGACCCATCTTCAGCTTTCTGGCAGAGGCCATCAGGTTTTTATTTAAAATGTCCTGGTAGTTCAAAGCGTTCATAATGCCATGCACCCTAACAAGGTTCCCAGGGCCTTTGGAAGAGAAACAGGCCCACAGCATCACAGATCCTCCACCATACTTCACGGTGGGCATGAGGTACTTTTCGGCATACACATCTTTTGTTTTACACCAGATCCACTTAGAGTGTTTGTTGCCAAAAAGCTCAATCTTAGTCTCATCCGACCAAAGCACACGATCCCAGATGAAGTCCCAGTGCCGCTTGGCAAACTCCAGACGTTTACGTTTGTCAGTGTTAGTGAGAAAAGGCTTTTTCCTAGCATGCCTCCCAAACATCTTGTTGGCATGTAGAGAGCGTCTGATGGTTGTTTTGGAGATTTTGTGACCCCAAGATGCCACTATTTGATGCAATTCTGTGACAGTGAGCTTAGGACTTTTTTTTACTTTTCTTAGCATCCTCCTCACAGTGCGTTGTGGCAAGATAAACTTGGGACCTCTTTCAGCCTTGTTTGTCACTGTTCCTGTTGTTTTAAACTTCTTAATGATTCCTCTAACTTTAGATATGGGCAATATAAGGTGAGTGGCTATTTTCTTGTAGCCATTGCCTGACTTATAAAGGTCATCACACATCTGCCTTACTTGAATGGTGTGTTCTCTTGTCTTTGCCATGTTGACAAATGGGTAAGAGAATTAGGCCTCTGTGTCATGTCATATTTATACCCCAGGGAAATAGGAAGTCATGAATTACTAATTAAAAGTTCCTAGATATCCTGACCAACATTAGCAACTACAGAAAATATATATTTTTTTAAAAATCAATTACATTTTTCAGCGGAATTGTTAGGGGTGCCAATAATTGTGGGACACAGGATTTGAAGTTTTTATTTTTCTAAATTTTTACATTTTTTTTTTACCACCAAAGTAATGTACTTGAATAAAAGGTTGGATTTTTCTCTTTTTTTGCATTTGGGTTCTATGTTGTTTAAAAAAAGGGAGAATTTTTAAAAGTCCTCAACCACATCTTAAACAGGGGTGCCAATAATTGTGGAGGGCACTGTAGTTTTGTCCCTTGTTAGAATGGCCGACTCTAAGGAAAACTCACAATTATCTTTTAAAATGTTTTATTCCTTGGCAGAAAACAAGCTTTCATAGGTTTCCGTCCGATATATATATATATATATATATAGTATATGTTTTGAATTTTTTCCTGCTGTGCACAAACCAATTAAAACAGACCTGTGACATATTTTGGGGTCTGAATTAAGTGTCCTAATTTTGCTGTTTCTGATCTTTTAATCTGATTGTCTCTCTCCGCAGTAGTCCAGGTTCACGTACTAAAAGGAGACAAGGCGGGCGAATGGTGGAAATTCACTACCAACATCATATCCGTCTATAAGCAGGGCGGACACCGCATTCGCAGAGGAGACCAGCCCCTGTGGGTCCGCGCTAAAGACGTGGCCTGCAAGTGCCACAAAATTAAACCCGGGAGGAAGTACCTGCTCATGGGCTCTGACAGCGACGACTCCCGCGGTCAGAGCGGCGTGGTGGCGGACAAGGGCAGCCTGCTCATCCCGTGGAAGGACCTGTGGGCCCGTCGGCTACGGAAATTCCAGCAGCGTGACAAGAGGGGCAAGTGCTAGAGGGATTGAAGAACAGGAGAGAAGGAAAGTAAAATAATGACCCGAGCACCTACAAGTCGGAGCAGATTGATTGACGATTGATCAGAACTGTGGTGAAGGACAACCACTTGTGCAGTTTTGTGCAGCCTTTTTTGTTGTTGTTGTTGTTCCCATCAAGATTTTATTTTTTCATATCTTCAATTTTGCAGAATTTGCACCTGCTATTAAGTATACATATATGTAAAGTCGTTTATGTGTGATCCTTTATGATTTCTGCCTTTTTCCACAAATATAAAAAGAAAACAAGCTACTGAGTCAATGTATCTACATGAACGCTTCACTTCAGAAGAAGGGTGATGGCGGTCGACGTTTAAAAGCGCATGCAGTGGGCTCCGAAAGTCTGAAGCAAGATTTAAAACCTGGAATTATACATAGTTGCAGAAATGTAAAACAAAGAAGAATTTAAATGACAAAATATTCATGAATCTGGAAATGTATTCAATTATTTGACCTGTGGTGCACATTTGACTCATTGGGATGATGTTGCAATCTCATTCCCCTACTTTCAAAGAACATAAAATAAGTGCAAAATAAAAGCACTTTCATGACTTTTGGGCCACACTGTACAGTTTTTATGAGAATGCAGCATACGTGATTATGAGGGAACTATAAAGATCTGTTAAGCAAACACATGCCAAAATTTCATACTGTATAACATCATTTCCATTCCTTCCACTCAGATAGAGAATCTGTTGACAATACCTCACTGTTGCTGTTTGGAAGAACTCTGATTGGTTCAAAACTGCATGACACCATTTGGATTATTTGGTGCCGTACTTTTGGCCTTTGATACTTTGATAACTGTGGTGATCTTTAAAGTGTGAAGTCTACCTTCTGTTCCATAACTAGTTGTAGTATGAGTTTAGACAAATAGAGTATGATTGTTTTAACCACTTTATGATTTTTGATTTGAAAAAATAAGTGTATTTTTCATTACGAACAACATGTTCTCTCTTTACTGCAGACTCCTATTATATTATACAGAATAAATCTGAGATTTTCCAGATATTGATATTGCAATAATCACAAAATTCCCCAAAAGTAGATTTCAGAGGAATCAGAGAAGCTCTACTAAATTTGAGACTTACTGTAAGGTTTAGTGATACAGGGATCAAGGATATAACAGAACAATGAACACAAGCCTGAATGGTCTTCATGGCTGTGTTGACCAGTGTATGCAAACGTAAGGTTACCGCGTACCAAAATAAATCGGATAAAATGACTCTTATTATTTAGGGAAACAAACTATTTTCTGTGTTATCACTTGTGTGGTACCTTTCTTTGCTCTGGTACTTTACTACAGTGATATGCTCTACTGTTTTTGTATAGTTGTATAGTTTTCTTCTTTTTTTGTACAATATATTTAGTAGATTATATTCACATGCAATTAACCATTTTTTATTTTATGAATATTCTGAAAATAAGAAAAGGAATTTTAGATTTTCTTTGTTTACACGAGTTGATAGTGTAGAGAGAGGGATGTACTATGTCTATGAGACATGAAAATACACACACACACACAATTTAACATCCAGTCACTGTCCAGCTCTGAATCTCTGACAGCGACTACGAACTGAAAGTTATTAAAACTCACAGATGGTCTAGGTCTTTGGAGACACCCTGACCTCACAAGTAGACTTTGACCAGTTTTCCAGACATTTTGGAAAATGACTGAACAGAATTTTCTTTCTTTTTTTGATGAAGACATTTACAATGTTCATGGTCCTCCTGTATATGATGTTTTACTGTGTACTTTGCAAAAGCTGTGTATTGTCCTGTAATGCATACTAATATATTATGATTCTCATAAATGAACATATTTAATGATACATGAACTCACATGGCTGTGTGTTTATTTTTGGTCCCAAATATGATATTTTATATATTATCTTAGTTTTTTTGAGTACAGCCACTAATGACCAAGAAAAAAAATTAAATAAATAAATTATATATATATATATATATATATATATATATATATATATTCTGCAAACTGTGTACTTGTAATTATATTTAATTATATTGTGGCACAATAATGAAAAATGTCAATTAATAGTAGATTTTTTTTTTAAATAAGATGCAGTTATTTTGTTGTGTATAAATGGGTTTGGACTTTATAAACCACAACATGTTTCATATGGACGAATTTCATAATAATAATAATAATAATAATAGCTATAGTAATTACGATTATATTGAAATTTTTATATAATTTATTATAATATAACTTATAATGATAAATAATAATATAATAGATATTATTCATATATATATATATAAAATGCTTATTATTTATTTGTTCTATAGTAGTAGTAATATAACATCATACATTTTCAAATGTCCAAGTGATATTATTTTGTTCCGTCATGGCCAGAAAGAGACTACACAGATGAGTTCTCTGGGCTAATTTAATGGTACCAACTAAATAACAATAAAAAAATTATAATTTTAACAATTCCGAAAGCCAGAATAGCAAGCCAAGTTAAACACAACCAAATACTGTACGTCAAGTGCCGCACGGATGGAGGGCCTGTTAAAAGCGAAGCAAAGAGTTAGTGTGAACAATAAATGTCAAATGGAAGTAATATACAGTTCTGTTTTTGCAACAAAACCCAGCAGCAGACGCGATAAGCTGCATCATCATTTACTTTGGCTCTCTGGACCTCACTAAACACCAGAGCCTTTCAGAAGGGCTTCAACATGTAAATGTCAGGGCCCGTGTATTTCAGCTTTAACTGAGCCAGTGATATATCAAACGCGTAAAACAGACCACTGGTAACCGGGTGGGCACTTGGTGGTACTTATTCGAATGAAAACTAAGCCATTTTCAGAAATCGTCTGTGTGGTAGAAGTTGCGTTTTGTCCTAAACATCCATTTCAGCAATACAGCAGGTGTATAAAAGTACAAAGGCATTTTTCTTAACAAAAAAGTAAACTATTTAAAACATTTTTTTTAAGGTGAAGTATGGTGGATGCATGCGAATATACTAAATATACTGCTAAAGAATTACGTCAGTCAGTGTCAGGACAACCAATAGCAACAGAGGAGACAGTGACACATTTTAAACAGATGTGTCTAAATGGAAAGTGTATATTTCCAATAATTTAGGGTGATATTCTAAGGGAAGCACCAGTTAAATGCAAACTCCCCGGCCTGCTCTCAAAACATTTATCTTAGACACACTCCCACCATTGTGTCTCTGTTAACAGCCATCAGCCACCTCCTAAAACAACGGCTTCCGGAATGTCTGCAAGTGTGTGTAGGGCTGGAAAGGTCAAGTTCAGATCACCCCAAGACACGACTACACCAGCGCAAGCACCAAATAGCGCATCTTGTTCTCAGAGCATCAGATGGGTAGCTGTTGTGAGTGACAGGAAGGACGGATCAACTCTGTTTGATGGGTTTCTCAGCCTCAGCTTCTGAAGGAAATGACTCCATAAGAAACCTCATTAAACTTCTTGAGGTTAGTCAACATTGCCCATTTACTGTAGATCTCAATCATTCCGCTTTCATTTCAAGGAGTCATTTCAAGAATCATTCCCTTTCTCTCTCAGTAAACAATCTACAATTTTGATCTCTTTCAGTCCTGAGGGGCTCCTGGACTTTCATCTGCAGTATTAACCCTCACCAAAGTTCTCGTGCAGTTTATTGAGTTTCCTTTTTTTTTTTTTTGTCATTCATTTGCAAAGATTTTTTTTTTGTATAGACATGCAGATGTTATCCAGTTGCAATCGAATTTTTTCAACCCCCCCTTCCAAATCAGATTCATTGGCAAAATCTACAGACTTTCAACTGTTAGCAAAGAACAAATCAAACAAAAGTAATTTAAATAGCTCAACACCACAAAAGTTTCAAGTGGTTTCCCCAAATTCAAATGAAAATGTAATAATTTAATAACTTCCGCAGTCTCAGAATTATTCAACCCCCCCGAATACAACCCCCTTACAACTGCACAAATCTGCAAAAAAGGTGAAGTCTCAAGCACACCTGATGCAACTAATCAAGGGATTCATTAGTTGCACCAGGTGTGCTTGAGCTAGAACACATGAAATACATGATCTGCCTAGGTGCTTAAGGCCATGTCCACACTAATACATTTTCGTTTGAAAACGTATATTTTTCTCTCCGTTTTGGCCTTCCGTCCACACTGAGACGCCGTTTTAAGTCACCAAAAACGTATCTTTTGGAAAACGCTCTCCAAAGTGGATACATTTGAAAACGCTGTTTTCACGTTGTAGTGTGGACAGTGAAACCGGAGGTATTTCAAAACGATGACGTAAGTTTAGTCATGTGATCCATGAAGTACCAATAGATATTCATGTTTATTGGTATTGTGCCAGTTATGTGTTATTCATGTTTACACTGTTGCTAAAATATGTTACTTTCTATGTTACTTAATATGTGCTATTCTTCATAGCACAGTACCGCAAAGATGACAGATAATGTACTTACATTTGCTGTCCTGCGGCAAAACAGGAGAGCAGTTGCGTTTTAGACCAAACATATGGTGACTGAATGCGATCTGGAGGCATCAGTGATGGTGAGATATTTTGCTAAATAAAATTATCCTGTTATTGTGCGATAACATTATTATTTATTTTCCTATCTGTATCATCTCAGTGAGCTTTCATGAAGTTTCACGCATGCGCAGTAAAGTGAATTTAGAAGTTTCTCATCCACACTGAAGCGTCGGGAAAACGCCTGAAAACGCTAGTGTGGACGGAGAGCGTTTTTAAACGAAAACCCCGTTTTCAAATGTATCCGGATTATTGTGGACGTAGCCTAACTCCCGTGAAGAGACGGTTTCAACCCCCGCAAAAACTTTCAGATGATGCAAACTCTGAATCAACATGCACCAATGCTATATTTTCGGAGGTCTTCATAATTGGCTGGATCCAAACTGGAACAGTTACCTCAGGATGGGCATCCCAAGATAAAACAGAGATGTTAAAACAGTGACCTTAAAGGGATACTCTGCTTTTTTGGGAAATAAGCTCATTTTACAACTCCCCCAGAGTTAAACAGTTGGGTTTTACCATTTTCGAATCCATTGAGCCGATTTTCTGATATTTAGAAAAATATCAGTAACCAGACAGTTTCTGGTCTCATTGACTTCCATAGTATATATTTTTTTCCTACTATGGAAGTCAATGGGACCAGAAAGATGTCTGGTTACTGACATTCTCGGTTGCAATTTATTCACCTCAATATAAGGATGGCATGTTTTTTTTCTGAAATGTAGCTAAGCAAAAAGTCATGTATCACATTTTGAATGTAGAAATATAAATTTCCCAAAGTCAAATGATTTCTTTTTATATGACAGAAATCTTTATGCAAAGCTGGATACACAGAATATACTAGAGGAATTAAGATTACCTGGCTGGGACGTTTTGCACTTTCAACCTATTATTTACTTTTTATTCATTAATGTTCCAGATTTTCCCTTAATTCACCCTAGCATTATGTTAGGCAGAAGCAGGCCATCAACCCTCTTTAAACCCCATACGAATGTTCATTTAAAAACCAAACCAAACAGTCGCAATGCTTTTCTGGTGTCTTGTCTCGTGAGCATCAGGGTTCAGCGCTTTCTTGTCGCCAGTTTGGAAACAAAGCGAATACACATTGAGCATGTGCACTTCCCAGTTCTCCTTCTCCCACCCCTCTAATTCTCCCCATCTCTTGCTCTCTCTTCTCTCACATCGTTTTCACAGAATGGCCCAAAGCCTTTGAGAATTGCTCCATGAGAAACAAATGCCCAGGCGCCTTAATGGAGTCCAAATCAGAGCAGGATTCAAAGAGGTGCTCAATATCAAGCGCTTCACCCAGCCACACATACACATGAACACAAAATAGGGGCCCAAGTGTTTGACACCTACGCCCTTGGCATTTCTTTCTGTCCTTTTCCCTTATTCCTTTCACTCATTCTCTCCATTTCCCCCTCTCTTTCAGTACTAATTTCTGGCTTACGAGACACGGGCACAAAGCCGCCTCTTATGTGCATAAGAGTGGCTGGGATTCCTCACCGCGCACAGGAATGTGAGGTTGGGTTGCTTTTATCTCATTAACATTTCCATACAGGATTAAGCCCCTTGGCCCTCAGGACCTGTATGTTATATATGTCAGCCATTCCCTGGGATATAGCTATGCTCTCGCCAGCTGCAAGTAAACAACCAAAAAGACAATTGGCTAATGCTCAAGCACACTTCATTTTCATTCACACGCTTTTAAGAAAGGGCAAAGGCAGGTGTGAGCTCGATGCTCTTGTTTCGCCAGTGGGACGACAACTAAGATGTGCTCTTCACATTCCAGGCCGTATATACAATCTTAAGTGTTAGTGCTAAAAAAACAACAACAACTTATGCACTTTATAAATTCAAATTTAGAGAAGACTCTACATTTGTAATAATACAAATTAATGTAATAATTTTGTGTCATTTCCACCTGATTGAAAGCATGAGTTGGATGCAACATACACTTTTAATTTGATTCCTTTTTAAGAATTTAAAGATCAAATG